GGAGGAGGGGGATTGGGGATGTAGGAGCAGGGGGATTGGGGAGCTGAAGCAGGGGGATTGGGGATGCTGGAACGGGGGGATTGGGGATGCTGGAACAGGGGGACTGGGGATGCAGGGGGATTGGGGATGCTGGAGCAGGGGGATTGGGGATGCAGGAGCAGGAGGATTGGGGATGCTGGAGCAGGGGGATTGGGAATGCTGTGCTGGTGCCAGCGGGAAGCACGTGCCCTTTCTGCTGCTCGGCCTGTGCCTGCCCTCAAAGCGCAACCTAGTGCTCTGCATCCTCCTCTGTGCACAAAAGCGCTCCCTTCACAGCTGTGAGATAGAAGCTACCATTCATTTTCGAGTTTCTCCTTGAAAAATCCCACAGGAAAACTACCAAATATGCAAAGTCGCCGTCAGCTTCCACCTTGARCTGCATATTCATCAGCACATTTGCTCAGCAAGCTGCTATCACACTTCCCCTCGCCATAATCTTTATTGCTTCAGGTGCTCAGTCAGTGCTATTTGGCTTTTTCATTTAAAGCGAGGAATTATGTCAGGTTTGGAGGAAGAGAGGCAAGGATAACCTTGCACGGAGCAGGAATGGCCCTCGGGTGCTTGCTCCAGCAAGGGGAAGCAGGATGTCGTTCTTTTGTGGGTTTGGGGAATTGTTTTATTCCACCGTTTTATTCYACTGTTTTATTCCACAATTCCAATGTGGCTGGAATTGTGGCATAATAAATGGTCGTTTTTTGACCAAAAAATTGGCATGGACTCGTTGTTGCTCAGGTGAACCAAGTCCCAGCTAATAGAATAACCCCCTAACGAGGAGCATGCCCCAAACCTGTTGCTTCCAGAGCCGGTTTCCCACCGGTGCCCGCCGAGCTGTGGGTGATTGGGAATTGCAGACACGTACGGAGGTGCCCGGCGCGTCGCCGGCACGAGCAGACACTTTTTAAAAAATTAACTCGCGGAAGGGAAAAAAAAAAAGAAAACGGGGTGGGGGAAGTGAATAGCAACGGGCGTAAATTATAAATGAGGCTTTGCAAACAAAATTCAAAGGGAGAAAAAGGACATTGGCACCCAGCAGCGTCTGGAATAACAGAAGGGAGTTTGTCCCCGTGACGCGCAGCGGGATCTTGACAATGGGGTTCGCTCGCGGAGTGGGCCGGGGAGGCAGAGAAACGGAGGCGTTTTCCGAAAATACCACTGTCCTCCATCCGGAAAAAAAGGCAGAGGATGTTGTTCTATCCCAGAAGGAGGGAGCAAGGGTTCACTTTGCAGTAGGAATTTGCCAGGCTGTTAAATCTGATTATGAAATTTGGAGATATATATATTTAGGGGGGGAGTTGGCGGATGTATAGCGTGCAAGCGAGCGCCTGGAAGGCAGGAGCAAACTGGCCTGGAGAAAACCAGGTTTTCTGAAAGCCTGCAGGGAGAGAAGCCGGGGAAGGATATTTGCTGCTCTTTATCGGAGCGATTTGCTCCATTCCCRTTTTTTTTTCCGAAGGTAGCATAGTCCCATGCTCGCATACAAATTGAGTTCCCTGCCAATTTAGCTCCGAGCGGGCGCCGCGGGAAGAACAACGCTCTGCTACATCTTAATGGTGATTTAATTTTTTTTTTTTTCCAAATTGCAAATCCGGCCTCCGAAATTATAATATTATGGTGCCGCTGCTCTGGGAGGCAATCAGAAATGGAAATTCGGGGGAAGCATTTGCATAAGAATAGCCGCGGCGCAGCGTCCTTCGCGGTGCATCGACTCCCTCCCYCTGCAACCAAACAATCCTCGTCCTTTGGGGCTTCCCAGCTATGGAAAATTCCAGGCTCTTTCCCGGAAAAGCAGATATTCCCCACGTGGGTCATTCCTCCTTTTCCCCTCCCACGTTGGCTGCACGTGTCCACACGGGAAACCTTCCTGCGTTCTCGGGTTGTGGAGGGTGCAGCGTAGCAGAACGTGAGTTTTGCAGCTGAATTCCTTGCTTTTTTCACCCTTTTTTTTCCCTCAGAGTCGGAAGCATGCAAGTAAAGTGCGTCTCTATTACATGCTGCATCCCATAGACGGAGGCTGCCCGGCCAAAAAGCTCCGCGCCGAGAACGTGGGTATCACCCGAACCCTTGTGATGTGCATGCGTGCATGCAACCGGTGCTGCACATTTCCTGCATGGCCCAGAGGTGACATTCCAATTCACACAAACCCTGAGGACCTGGGAACAATTTTCCATAAACTCCTCAAAAAAAAAGCAATATTATGCTCATCAGCAGTGGTAATCGCACGCGGTAGTGCAGTTAGCAAGAAGTGCCTACATTGCCATGTGAATTTTTGGGTAATATTTGCGGTTATTTGAAGCTCATCAAAATATTTGGGAAAGGTATTCCCGTTATCCTTTGCTRGCAAGGAGCACCAGGCTTCTGCACTGAATGGTGCGGGGTTAACAGGCTGGGCGTTACTGGGTTAAATGTGGTGCAGAGTGCTTTTTTTGGTGTTTTATTTGGAATTCCTGGTGCAGCTGGAGGCGCCTGGGGAAGGGGACGGTCGCAAGCCGYCGTCTCGGGACCCAGGAATTCTCCACAGCCTTTTCTTGCTGCAAAAACGGGAGCAAGCTGGAAATAGAGGGGGGRAAAAAAAGGCTAATTAGGCTAATTAGGCACGGAAATGAGCTCTTTGGGGACTCCTCCAGGGCTTTGTCCTACCTAGTTTTGAATATCCGCTTAGGCAAGGTGGAAGCCAAGGGCTCTCGGCAGGGAAAACTCCCCCTTTCCCAGTGATCCACAGGGTTTGTCCCTGGGAGAGGCCGGCTTCGCTCCGTGCACAGTGTCCTGTGTTCCTCTGCAAGGCCGCTCCAAGTACGGAGTATTCGGATGCTCCAAGCATGGGCTGCTGTCAGCATCCGTATCCGGGGATAGCATTTCCCAGCTAATTGCAGGCTGCCGTCACCTCCCTGCCACCRGGCTGGTGACAGCGCACACTGGCATCAGGTTCCTGCCTGCCCACAGGGTGAAGACCCGCTGGTTTCTTTGCTCTACACTTATTTTTTTGAGTGGTTTTCCCTTTGAAGACGTGTAAGGCGACATGAGAGAATCCCATGTAAAAGAAGGGGAAATTGGGCTCGGAGGAGTCGTTATCGCCGCCAAGATTTCTCCCCAAAGTTTAAGCTGATTCATAGTTAAGAGCAACAAAGAAAAGAGATGGGAAAAAAACAGCCTTTTTGCAAGCAGAGCTTGTGCTGGGATGAAGAGGACTCTTGGCTGGGTGGTTGCTGTGTGGTCCGTCACCTCTCCCTGGGTTTCTCAGCCTGGGAAATGTCCCTTTCCATAGTGAGGTTGTTTGCCCAGGTGGTAGCATCCCAGGGAGGCAGCATCCCATTCCATAAGAGCATCCCATTCCATAAGAGCATGCCAGCTTCATAAGAGCATCCC